ATAGTTCAGTTTTGTTTTGTCTTCTATGTGGTCTCAAGAAAGCAACACCCCATACCTCAATTAATATGTTCCAAGATGCCCTAAATGTAGCATTATCTCCTGGGTGCCTTGAGTGAGAATTTGGACAAGCAAACCACCATTTCACTAATCCTACCCAGAGCTCTAAAACTAGTCCTAGTTCTAGCCCGAGCTCTAAACCTACCTTTATACCTAGTCCTCACCCTAGACGTAACCCTAGACCTAACCCTAGACATAACCCTAGTCTTACCCCTAGCTTTAGCCCTAGCCCTAAAACTATCGTTAACCCTAGGCCAAGCAATAGCCCTAACCCTAGCCTCTGAGTGCTTTAATTTCCCGCCTCCTTGTGCCTAAGCAACTGGTCTCTCCCTTCACAGATGCTAGGTCTGTTCTTTGCACCTGTCAGGGGGACCTGAGGTTCCCAGCTCCCCAGGGTCCCTCTGCTTTGTTTATTACTCCTTCTCTTTTGTACTCCCAACCAGAGCAAACTCAAGCCATACACATTTCCCAACCAGACATGCCTTTAATCTTTAGTATTTTACAACACTTGGAACTCATGTCTCATTGACACTTACCACCCAAGTTTCCCCAACCAGACACAAGGCATTGAGCACCAGCTGTTGGACAGGATTTGGGCAGAGATATCGTGGACACGCGCGAGTTGAGGGTGGCCGGTGACTTCAGTTTAATCAGCATGATGTCGTTATCATAGGTGTTTCCATTGTACTTGGGATGGGGGATGAGCTTGGCTGGACTAATGAACTGCTCACCACCCTCAAGGACATCAATGTTGTGTTCTCCCAAACGCACCTGGAGCCCACTGCATTAAAGAATTAAAGAATTCTAAGTTATCCAAATTGAGCTTTCTCTCCCCCGAGCCCAAAGTCAGGAGGGTAAACACAAACATCATCTTCTTTAAGTACTTAGTCCTGTATGTAACTGTGTACTTGAGGTAATCTGTGCCTACCACCCATGGTACAGGATAGGGTATCTCTTAGGTAACATCCTGCTGGTATAGAGTCACAGAAGGTCATCCCCTGAGAGGTGATGCTAGAGTATAGATTGACCTTAGAATACAGCGTTTTGACTGTTGTCCACTTACCTCATAAGGCAGTGAGCTGCAGTCAATACCCACTGATTATTGATGAGGGTGCCACCACATTGATGGATGCCATTATTCAAGGACACCTGGTAAGGGAGGGAATTCGGCTGACAGGTGTAGCCTCCGATAATCTTGTCATCATCTGCAGCAGCATGGACAGCGACTGAGGGAGAATTTTGTATATTTATTTTAAAGATAATTATCTCTGTTTGTGATTTTGTGTTTTATGAAATTTGTACAAAAATCAAACAACCCTACAGTGTGGTCATGTTTCATTTAATTCATAAAATGTGCTCACAGTAATTTTAAAATTTATTATTGTATAACTTTATCATATCTACTTTTTATGCCATTCCTAATTTTAATTTTATTATATTTATTAATTGTGTTTATTTATTTCTCTGTGTGTGCGTGCATGTGTGGTGTGTGTGTGTGTGTGTGTGTGTATTGTGTGCGTGTTCATGTGCCATTGTGCTCATGTGGAAGTCAGAGGTAAGTTACAAGTGTCAGTTACTCCTTCTACCACAGGGGTCTTCAGAACGGAACTGAGGTCACTAGGGTTCAGGGCCACTATATTTACTCACTGTACCATCTCATCAGCCCAAGTATCTAAATTTATATTTATCTTTTAAAATTAAATATTTGTCTTACTACATAATAGACACACACGCACACACACACACACACACACACACACTCCAAAAGACCATTTGCACAGTTAATAGTTTTCTTTTAACATCTTCAAATATAAAGAACTCTCCTTATCCAGAACCCTACCCATCAGCCATGTGCATAAGTAGAATACATTGAAGACATCTTCCTAGTTTCTTTGTGGTAGTTGATTGCATGTTGGTAGGTTATAGATACATAAAGGGACTTTGAAAAGCAATTTGAGAGAAGTGTATCATTGATAAAAATGATAGTTTTGTATTTTACTTTTCCTAATCTTTTATAGTAGTTGTCATGTATATTTTATTCGATCATTTAATAGAACATTGCAGGTTTTCCCTTCCCTAAACTTTCTTTTAATCCCAATATCTTTTGGGCATATATCAAAGCATTTAATATTTTGTATGAAGGCTAATGATTTTACCTTATTTAAGAGAAATGTCGTGTAGTCATATTCTTCTGCTCATACGTTCAGCCATGAGAGAGAACAAAGTCATTCTTTTCGGTCCAATATCAACGCAGGTTTACAAGAATTTATTTGCTTAATTTGACAAGTGTTCATTTTGTTACAGGGAACTGTCTAAATTTAAATCCATGGTATTTTTGTCAGTAGGAAGACTATGGTGAAAATGAAAATGATCTTCCATTTTTTTCCCAGGTGTTCGTTGCCCTGTGCCTTCACATCGATCATTAACTTCAGTTAAATGAGTTTGGGTGAAAGGACTCATGACTTGAAGCTAGACCAGGCAAGTCATGGAGCTGAGTGTATTCAGTGCTATCAGCAGTCAAACGCCACTTGCTATACCTCTTGTCAAATCAACCGTTTAACTCTGCGAGCTTTGAAAAGACTGCAAGTCTGCCTGGGCTTAAATTTATAAATTTGAAGAACTGGAGAGTTATTATAACATTATTTTTTGAGGTCATAGATAAAATATGCTGTGGTTTTTTTTTGTGTGTGTGTATGCTTTTCCTAACATTTTAAATATATTTGTTTACATTAATGCAGCTATTTATAGGAAAGGGGAAATGAGTTGAGACTTCATTATACATTCTAACAGCACTCTTCTGCTCAATTTCTTCCTTCATCAAACATTGCAACTGCCTTACTAAAAAATTCAGACTTGATCCCTCCTATACAAAGTACCAAGCAATGAACAGACAGACAGAAAGATTGCTGTGAGGAACATTTCCCTAGTGCTTCACCTTATTATCTACTTAGTGCTAAGTATATGTCATACATAGTGTAAGACAGTTTGAAGACACCGTTTTATTTAGTCATTGAAATAACTTGTTAGGTTAAGCATAAAATCTCCAGTTTTAGAAGTGGCATAGTTAGGACCCATGTCATTCAACTTGTAACTGAGAGATCTAGTCATTGGTGATAATATTGTGTGTCTTAAAATCTGTATGTGTCAGATGATATTTTCTTCCTAATACTCAATTTGTCTTTTGTTCTCATAACTTCTGGTTTCATGTGGATATAAAGATGCCCCAACTGAAGAGAACATTTCCCAGCTGGTCTGGATAGGGTGTGTTGGACGTCGTAACACATGTCCTGCAAT